CAAAATTGAAAAAAAACAATAACCGATTATAACCTACAATGGAAGGGAAAGATAGTAAGATTTTCAGCAAATCTCACGTTTACAGAGAATTACATAATTAATTCCCTTTTTATGTAAGTGATTATTAATGAGATTCCTGAGAATGTTTCAATACCACTATCAAACTCTGATCATCAATTCTTTTTAAAGAATTTCTTCAGTGTTAGCGAAGTAAAGAATTATTTGATATACCGCATTAATTATTTATACCCATAAGCCATTTTTCCTTGTAGGTTCAACTATGGGAAATAAAATCGGTTTAATTAATGTGACTTTTGAAATGTAACTGAAGTATTTAATGAAAATGAGAAAAAAGTGGGATTGTATGCACAAAGTAAACAATATTTAATTTACTATTATAGTCAAAAAAAAAATTACAAAATTAAATTAAAAGTTTTCGGGAGAGAATTTTTCTAAATGGGGTTATCCAAATGGTCGCATTAAAAAATAGCTAAATATAGGTAAAATTGATTTTTTAAAAAAAACACAATTAATGGAAAATGTTCCAAAAGTTTAACTTATATATCATCAAATATATTGTAAGCTTGAAAATGTTCAAATTGCCCTAGTGAAAAATTTAAAAAAAAAAAAAAGTTCTTTTTGTCGGACCAGGTAAAACGATTGATTGGTTTCAAAATACATCTATTATTGTTTAAGCGTGTAACGATGTTCCAGAATAAATTTCATATGGAGAATTTTCTTGATTAGATAATTTGAGAACATAGGTTTCACACTTATATTGACTTTCACTGCGTCAAAGTTTTATTTTTTTCAATTTGTTTGCATATCAATTTAAAGAACCCTTGTTACAATTTTCGTAATTGTTTAAACACACTTTTTTGACCGGGATATCCGAGTGAAGTCCGAATAAAAACCAATTCATACGTCAATTGATGATTTAATCATTACTGCGTTGGGTAACAGAAAGTGGCGTTTTTTTTAATAGCATGAATGGTGGTTATGCTGGCGTTTGTGTGTGTGTTTTTAAGCATTTTTTTCATCTGTGCGTAAATAGAGATATAAAATCAAAGAAACAACCCCAAATTAAACCAACCTCTTTGATGATTCATGGCGCAGCAATATAAATTTTATAGAAAAGCAGCAAAGTAGGTGAAGGGTGAAATTGACCGTTCTTTTGACTTGTTCTATTCCTTGTTATCAAAATTAAAGGCTTTACATTTCGGAATAATTTCCTGCATAATAAAAAACCAGGCTACACATGACTTTGCTACCCATGTTCTTAAAGCCACGCATTTACTTTACTTCCAAGTTTAAATTGTATAAAAAAAAAAAAATGTAGAAACTTTAAAAAATTTCACCAAACCAAAACAAAATTCTGTGAATCAAAATAAGGAATCATGGCTGCATAAATATGATTAAATAAACCAATTTAGAGTTACCTTTTTTCTGTGCAAAATTTTTGACGATTTGAAGTATACAAAAAAAAAATACTACAAAATAAAAAAAAAAAAAAAATCTCCCTGGAATTTTTATTAAAAAAAATTTTTTTTCCCACTCCAACTCTTTTTTTTTTCGCTCGTTTTTTTTTTCTTATTAATAATCACATATACCTTACTTGTTTTTGACACGTGGTCACTGTCCCCCTTTTATACTTTGCATCAGGTTTAAAATTATACAAAAAAATTTTTATGTACATCGTGCGTGCCACTAGCTTCTAATTATCTTTTTGAATTTGGTTTTTAAACAGTATAATCGACATAAGTCGATCAATGTCTTTTCAATCCCACGAAGCTGCCGAATACTTAGAAAACCTTCTAGCTTCCACTGGAAACCGGGAAGTCGAAGGTTACTTAACCACACCTCAGTTAAGCAATGTGCCCTCGGTTTCGTTTCCAAACGTACATTATAATAATATGGCTTCAGTATTCGCTGCAAACAACGCCTTGTAAGTATTCGCGAGAAAAAAGCGTTCCGTTTTAAATATAGGACCAAGTAATATTAATTCGAATTAACTTTTTGATCTGAAATCCTTTTAGAAGGGGCAGTACATCAATTATTTCAAATCATGATAATTCTCAACAATCATCCAACCAAATAACGCATATTCAACCTTCAGCTTATGATATAAACAACATTCCTTCCTCTTTGGATCCTTTATTTAATTTAAGCAGTGTAATAGGCAGTGGTATGGGAAACATCGCATCTGATAGTGGATCAGGCGTTTCGGCAAGTTCTTCTACAGGTTTGCAATCTATGATGCCTCAAGTTTTAAGTCAAATCCCACCACCTCCGGTAACAGGTTTGTAATTAAATTTAAATTTTTTGTGACTCGCCAATTTAAAAAGATACCAACATTGTTTCACGTAGCAACCACAGTAGCTGGCGTCACTACCAACTTTCCCGGATTATATTCTAGCACAGGATTCGATATGCTTGGAGTTTTGGTAAGCTTATACCTAACCACCATTAAAGATCTTTTGACAAATTATTTTATATTAATTTTGTGATTTATACAAAAAAATCAGGCTCGCGTTGCTTCAAGGTTCGTATTTTTTTTAACCTGATTTCAAGACAAAAACAAGAAAAGAAAAATAAAATAAAAAAGGCTAATTTATAATTTCGGATATTAGGCCAAATCCACAAATCAATATAGGCCCTGTTGATATGAGTTGTTCATTTTTAGTGGGTATGTTACATGAATTTTGATTATTCAATACATAGTTCACAAACTTGCCTTGCTTGACCTCTTATGGAATAACTTTTCTAGTTGATGCCCGTAAATATGATTTTCCAATTGTATATGCCAGTCATACATTCGAAAAGTTAACTGGGTATTCCAACTCGGAAATTATTGGGCGAAATTGTCGATTTTTACAAGCTCCGGATGGACATGTTGCTCTCGGATCGCGTCGTCGTTATACCGACAATAACGCGGTTTATCATATCAAAAGTCATATGGTCGCCGGAAAGGAATGTCAGGCATCTATTATCAACTATAGGAAAGGTGGACAAGTAAGTTATGCTATGATTCTTTCTATCCTTGTTTTATTGATTAATTAGTATATTTGTAATTTTAGCCATTTATCAATTTGGTAACCGTAATACCTATTACTTGGGATAGTGAAGAAATTGTATATTTTGTTGGCTTCCAAGTGGTATGTGAATATCTATTACAATCATTAATCCTTCCACACAATAGATAGTAAATAATTTATCTCAATTATAACCATAAAAAAATATCCCAAATAATTTTATATATTTGAACTTTAAGAAGCTTATAGGAATATATATATATAAAATAAAAAAAATGTATATTCTATCTTTGTTTTATAAAAATATTATAATTTACTCCAGTTATATATTATGTTCTTTTGTAATTCCTTTTTCTTTTTTTTTTTTTCCTTTTTTATCCCTTTTTTTTTTTTTTTGGATGAGCGAGAGACATTATTCATAAGCTTCTAACCCATTCATTCAATATGTGGTTTATTTCCGTTGTTTCCGATAGATCTAACATTTTCAATATTTAATATGAAGGACTTGGTCGAGCAGCCAAATGCGATATTAGAAAAAATGAAGGATGGCACATACGTTGTAAATTATTCTTTGATGAACTTACCTCAATATATTCCTCCAAGTGGTGCACTTATGGGTGAATCTAATGTCGAAGATTATTTCCGGGACAGTGCTATGCCGTTCCCTGCTTCACCGGAAGTATTTGAATTAATTGGGGGAAATGCGGATACTGAAGGTAGCAAACGGATGTGGAATAAGATGTTATTAGAGCATTCAGATGATTTTATTCACGTTTTATCATTAAAAGGCATATTTCTTTATTGTTCGCCGAGTTGTAGGAGAATATTAGAGTATGATACAAATGATCTATTGGGTAGTAGTCTTTCAACAATATGTCATCCAAGTGATATTGTACCAGTTATGAGAGAATTGAAGGAATCTTCAAATGGTGCAGAGTCAGTAAATCTTGTTTACCGTATTAGACGTAAAAATTCAGGATATATGTGGTTTGAAGCACATGGAAAATTACATTTAGAACAAGGTAAAGGAAGGAAATGTGTGATACTTTCAGCTCGTGAAAGGTCGGTTTATAAACTACAGTGGAAAGATTTACAAACATTTGGGGGGATATCGGATCAAGAATTTTGGGCAAAATTATCCGTGGATGGATTGTTTTTATATGCATCTTCAACATGCCAATGTTTATTAAATTTTACATCAGAAGAATTAGTAGGGACTTCATTATATCATTATGTTAGATCTGATCGTACAACTGATATAACAAGAAGTTTAACAGCTGCAAGAGATGGAAATGCTCATAGCTTTAAACATCACATCCAAAAAAAGAATGGTCAATACGTTGAAGTTCTAACAACATTTTATCCGGGAGATTCTATTAATACAAATAATAAACCATCATTTGTTATTTGTCAAACAAAAGAAGTTGCACCTGAAATTAGACGTCGTTCTATTTCAGTATCACCCGCTCAGTCTTCACCTACATCGGCAGGTTCTCCCGATGGGGCTTCCTCAATTTCCTCTGGAGGTTCTACACCATCTCCATCTATACATTTAAGAAATGCATCAATCGAACACCAACCTACTGATAATATCTTCGAAGAATTAGATACGACCAGAAGTACAAGTTGGCAATATGAATTACATCAAATGAGACTAACGAATAAAAGATTACGTGAAGAATTAGAAACTATTAAACACTCAAAGAAGAAAAGGGTGATGTACCACTCATTTGGTTAAATGATGCTTTTTCCTTAATAAAAAAAAAATGATGTATTAACTTGATCTACTATTATCATTTTCATTTTAATAGAAGAAGCGAAGTGCATCTTCTTCAAACAAGGTATGTCATCATTGTCAACGAAAAGACTCGCCCGAATGGCGGAAAGGGCCCGATGGTCCGAAAACTTTATGCAACGCTTGTGGTTTACGTACGTAAATTTGTAATCATATATCATCACTCTTAAATTTTCGGAGTGGTTAGGAAATAGTTAAGCAGGTGCAAGGAAATATATAAAGGAAATGATAAACGATGTAATTGGCATCTGCATGAATATTATTTGGGAATGCATTCTAAATATATAGTACTCAATGAACTTTTGAATAGGTATACTAACCTTACAATACGCGACATTTTCTTTTTTTTCTCGAATAGGTTATGCAAAACAAATGAATGCACAATTTAATGGTCCACGATCACCATCTGCTTCACCGAAAATAAAACCTAGCGTGGTATAAAAATTATAAAAATTACGTTTTTAAAAAAAAGAAGCGTTGAATTATGTATAAAACTTAACTATTTTATTGGTATCTTTATAAAGTTATCCTTTGCAAACGTCTTTTTTTATTCTTGAAAATTTTTGTATAATAATCAATACCACGCTATCTGGCATAGTCTTATTTTTTTTTTCTTTGTATTATACGTTTTATTTTGATTATTTTTTTTTTTTTTTTTTTTTTTTTTTCATATTTTATTTGTGAAAGACTTATATATGTATATAACGCATATTGGAAATCTTCTAATTTATAATAGCGATAGTAAAGCTACAGAAAATAATTTATATAGAAAATAAAAAAAAAAAAATGATAATGTTTATATAAATTTAATTTTGTAAAAATTCAAAAAAATTTTTTATTTTTTAAATTTATCAAATATTATTTATTTATTAATTTATTAATTATTTTTAATTAATTAAGTTAATTAATACTTATTTACTTTTAAAAACCCATTTTTTATAATTATTAATAGATTAATTTTTTACTTTAATAATAATAAAAAGTAAATACTTCAACAATTAAAAATGATTCTTTTATTTTAAATAGTAATAATAATTCTAAAAGTTTTAATAAGTTAATACTAGAATAATAATAAGAAAATATTTAATCTATAAACGATAATTTTATAAATTGCAAAATTGCCTAATAAAATTTATTATTAATCATAAAGTAGACCATTTTAAAGTTAATTATTTAGATTTTATAATTGAATTGTATAAACATTTGATCAATAAAATTTGACTTGTAAGTAAATAAAATTCAATTTTTGTAACCAATTAAAAAAGGTAAATTATTTTTAATCATATTTTTATTTTTTATTTTTTATATTAAGATAAGTTTAAATAATTTAAAAAAGAAGTAACTTTTTGATTTTTTTTTATATTTTAATATTATTAATATACAATTTTATAATTTATAATAGTTAAACACAATATTCAAGGATTAATCCTTTTATAGTTTACAATGTAATCTATTATTTACTCCTAAATAGCTTAGACTATTAATTCTATATAATTTGTTTAATATGAATAGCTTCAATCAGTTATAACAATTTTCTAAATAAATATATACAGAGTTTAAAAGTATAAAGAAAATTATTTAAAATGATAAAAATATAGTAAAAAAGAAAAAAAAATAAAATAAAGAAAATAAAAAGAAAAAATACTAAATAAAAAAAAAATAGCATAGAGCTATTTAAAGATAATTTATATATAGCAATTGGTATACTTTTACTATAATCTATAAAAATTATATTATATATTTTCAATTCTATATAATAATATTTTTAATATATCAATTATATTAAACATGTTAATTATATTTGTTATATTTAATATAATAATTATATTTAATAAGTCTAACATATTTAATATATTAAATATTTTTAATATTATATTATATCATATTAGCAGATTATGTTACTTATATCTAGTCATAATATTAATAAAACAATTTTTTTAAAAAAGAATTTTTAATAATATTGATTAATAATTTTAATTATAATTAATTATAATTAAAATACTAATTAAATAAATTTAAATTAGTCTAATAAAAACTATATATTTTTATATAAAGTGTTTTAATATTTATCTATTTAATAATTAAATTAATACTAATTAATTTTTACAATTACATAAAATCTAAATAAAACAAATAATAATATAAATTTTTAAGATTATCATTAGTCAAAATAATCCAAATCAGCTAAAAATTAAATGGTCAATTTTAAGCCAATTTTGATATTATTTATAGCCAGTAAAATTATTATAAACTATTGCTAACTGATTCCAATTAGACATAGTAATTCAGTTTTAATTTAAACTTAAATTTAATTATAAATCAACCTAAAATTGACCTTAATTTAGCATCATTTTAGCATTAATTCAGAATTTAAATTCAATTATTAACCTAAATATTACTGATTAATTCCAATCAAATAAGCAATTTAACATGCATTTATTTAAAACTTAAATAATTATAAATCAGCTAAAATTGCTTTAATTTAGTATTAATTTAATTAAATAAATATATAAAATTAGTATACTTTATTTTAAATATTAAAATTTTATTAATAATAATAATCTAATATAAATTCGTAAATCATAACAAAAAAATTATCATTAATTTTCTATTAAAAAAATATAAGCAAAAAATAAAAATATCAAGTAAAATAATAAAATAATAATAAAAATATAATTCATTTTTTTCAAAATTATCTTAAATATTTATTAACATAACATCATTATTATTAAAAAAAAAGAATAAAATAATAAAAATATAATTCATTTTCTTTTAAAATCTTTTAAAATCATTCAAAAAATATAAAAAATAATAATAAAATAATAAAAAATAAAAAAATCTACTTTTTTTTACTAAATCATTTAAAATTTTATTTTTTATTATAGAAAAGTAAAAAATTAGTTTACTATTTGAAAAGTTAACTAAAATTCAATTTAAAGTTAAACAAATAAAATCTTATATTTTATATTATTAATTATGTAACTTTAATCAAACCTTAAAAATTTTTTATTATTTTTATATTATTATATTATTATAATTTATAACTACCTTATAATATATTATATTTTCATATTATAGATTTTTTTATTAGTCTAAATTTAGGTACAATTAACAAAAAACCCACTACAACTTATCTTTATAGTCCAAGCTGAAATTTAGGTCCAGGTAGCAGTCCTTAAAGAAAAGAAGCAAAAGGAATATTAATAACGTTTTAAAGATAAAGAAAAATAAAAATCTCAAGAAAAGCAGCAAAAAGAATATTAATAACATTCTAAAGATAAAGAAACAAAAACAATTCTCCATACTACCTTACCTTTATAGTCCAAGCTAAAATCCAAATTCAGAAGGATGTTCTTTAAAGAAAAGAAGCAAAAAAAATGTTAATAACATTTCAAAGACAAAGAAAAACAAAAAAATCACAAGAAAAGAAGCAAAAAGAATGTTAATAGCGTTTCAAAGTCAAAGAAAATACAAAAATAATACCCTACACTACTTACCTTTATAGTCTAAGCTGAAATCCAGGTTTAAAAAGACGTCTTTTAAAGAAAAGAAGTAAAAGAAATGTTAATGATGTTTTCAATGACAAAGAAAAAATAAAAGCACTAATTTACCTTTATAGTTTAGCTGAAATTTAGATTCAGAAAGATGTTTCCTAAAGAAAAGAAGCAAAAGGAATATTAATGACATTTCAAAGATAAAGAAAAATAAAGAAAAACAAAAAAAACTCACACCTAACTTATTTTTATAAGTAAAGCTAAAATCCAGGTTTAAGAAGACATTTTCTAAAAAAAAGAAAGAAAGGAATGTTAGTAACATTTCAAAAAAAAACCAAATTTACCTCCTATTCTAATATACCTTTTAATCTAAGCCATTATTGACCCTATGCTCAGCCCATCAAACTTAGGGTAACTATGACTTAATAATAGAAAGTAACGTATGAGAAACTATTAAATTACTGTAGAATAAATCCTATCATAATCAACCTTAAGTTTATACTTTTAAACGAGTAAATAACTTTAACAATTTGTAAATATGATAAACACAATTGACATATTGAAGGATTTTTAATATGTATAGTTTAGAAAGAGATTCCTTTATTGTAGAGATTTGTATCCTTAGTAATCCTTAACCTTGAATTCTAAGTCTTGAACTTGAACTATTGAGTTTACACTGTTATTTCTACTCTTTCGCAAGAACAAATTTTTATCCTATTTATACAAAAATACAATTATAAGAAATTACTATCTAACGCTAAACTATTTTATAATGATAAGATAAATATATAAGATAAATTATAATTTAACGATAATACTAATATAATAAATAATAATAATAAAATATAAGAATAAAATAAATAAAATAAAAATGTTAATTAAGTTAAAAATGTTAATGATGTTAATAATGTTGATCATTTGTCAATCTTTGTAGTACAATAAGATTAATTTCACATAGTATCAATTTACTTCTCTAAATTTGCAGCTCCTGCAAAAATTTCATAGGTTTCGTTAACCAAGTCCTTGAATTTCTGAGATTTAAAATTATAAATCATCCTCAAAATCAAATTCTGAATTTCTACAAATTTGCAAAAGGAATTTTGCAGAATGTATGCCGTATTTATGTGTGATCTATTAGAGGAGAGCATGCCATATTCATGCTATCTGCAATCAATTTTACAAATATAGGTATTTTTAACGTTATATAAAACTAAAATTTGTTGATTTTTAGAATTATAGGATTTAAAAAGTGTTGAATATATGAGAACTTTTCATTCACAACAAAAAAATAAAGTTCATAAACAGTTTGTAACTCTGCAAATTTAAGTACAAGAAGAAGAAAGAAAGAGGTTGCTTATGGTAAACAGACTAGCATACCTTATAGCTGATCAAAATATTTGCGAAGAACTGTTATGATAAAGAATAAATATGTTAGAAGCTGAAAATCTTCGTCAAAAAGAGGCATTTTTGGAATAGTGGTTATTTTACAAAGACTTGTGAGAAAGTTAGGTATTAACTTCAGTTGAGTAGTCTGAGTAGTGGTTAGGATTTTTATTTTTACTTAGTTTTTTTCTTGGAATTTTTCTTCGCTGGTAGTTTGTTGAGTTGGGCTGGTAATTATAGCTGAGTTATATGTTTATGTTGATCATTTTGTAAATAAAACTATATACTTAGTGATTTGATTATATTGATTTAATCTTTATTTATAATATATTTAATCTTTTTCTATATCAAAAAAGTTCATTGAAATCTAATATTTAAGAAATCTATCACAAGAAAATTGTTAGACACAAATCTAAAATTAACTTTTAATCAACTGATTATGTTGTTTAACTTTTCTTAATGTATAAACTACATAAATATTACACATAATTTATTTTTCAGGAAAACTAACATTTTTATATTCCTCAATTTTCATATATGCATTTTGTCAAACTTTTAAAATTA